CTATCATTATCATTCAATTTGTCTTAATATTAAAATTAAAATTAGTTGAAGGTAGTTTAAAATTAAAAATTAGGAATCTTCAGAAACTCTTCAAATTTCTATCTGATCTTGGTGAAAATTAATAAAATGATGCGAACTAACAGAAAATGGTTTAAGAAATCGAAGTCTTCGACAATTTCTCGAATCAATAATTCTGGGAAGTGGAATTGAAACTTGTAAATTCTGCGGTACCATTCCAATTTGTTTTATGCGGCTGAGTAGTATTGCCGCACACGTTTGACATTCCAATGTTCGACATGCGAATAATTCAGCATTCTTGAAATATTATTTTCCTTCTTAATTCTAACCATTTCATAAGTTGATGAAAAGTGTAACAAAGTTAAAAAATAAATTGGGTATGATCAGATATACTTTAATGTTACAAAAGTTAATTCATTCTTTTTACTAGTAAAGTAAAAGATAATATTACATAAAAATTTTCATAGCAGGAAAAAAAAAGAAATAAAAAACAGCAAAATAAAATTCAAAAAAAGAAAACAAATCCATAAAAATAAAAAGATCATATATATTAATCCCCGTAACTTTCCTTTCGTACTAGCCCCAACAAAAACAAAAAATATACAAGATAAACCGCTCTGTCTCACGACGAACTAAACTAATATCAAGTATAAAAGAAGAACAGTCTCAAAAAAAATAACCTCTCTCTTTAATATTTATGTATAAATATTCTGAAATTTAATCAAATTAATGATCTGAAATTCACAATATAATATCACTACAAATGAATATGTTAAGTTAACACAGAAAGCAATTGCATCGACAGACTGTGAATACGGAATTATTGTAATTAGCTTATTTTTTTTAATACACAATGATTAAAATTACAAGAATATTTTTGTTAGCGATTTATAGCGTAGAAATTTATGAACTAATGAAAAAGCATTTTTTGCATTTATTAATTATGGAAACATTTTCTTGCAAAGAGTTATGACGATCGATGATCGAAAATAATCAATCGGATCAATTAACAATAGCTCAAGTGAGTAAAGCAAATGGAATAAAGCATCGAGTTCAATTTTTTGCTTGGTAAATTTTTTATAGCTTTGCAGGATTTAGAAAACTTTGCTGATAACATATTATTAAAAAATAGTATCTTTAAAATGTAATTTCATTTATGCCAGCTACTTGTTACTGTTTGTAATAAGACAATAATTTTTCATTAATCACTTTGAGCACTTAATTGTGGAATTTTTTTCATCTGATCAGTTTACTTCGGATGTCAGAATGATCATGAGATGGTCAATGTGGACATTTTATCAACTTCTTATTTAACTATGAGACTGCTTAAATGATTCCTCTCAGTTAGCCATCCTCGGATTTTGATAACCTTTCACTATGCTTTCATCTTCATGGTTCTCTTATCCATCTAAAACAACTTCATTACTACCTGTACTGTATTAACAAACAATTTCCAGGTAAAATACATTGTCAATTCCACTTCTTTGTAATTCAAATAATAAAAAATCATTCAAACTTATTTTTTATCTAACATAATTTAATCTAAAATAAATATAAAATGTAACAGTGCAAAAAATTGTAATTATCCTTGCGTTAATCTAATAAAAGACGTGAAACCAACGATGACACCACTGGTAGGATATTTTAGACTGTCGTCATCCATCGTAACATCTCGAAATGCCACTAGCGCTTCCTCAATAGAAGCAGCTTGATATCGAGAATCATAAGCGATGCATTTATCTGTGCCAGGTTTAATTACGCATGGACACTGAAATATCATAAATATTGCATCAGAATCATGGACACAAATAATATTGATAAATGACTAATTAAAAATTATGATAATATTAATTAATAACACCTGAGGGACAGCGTTTCCACGAATACGCTGATTCAATAAATTATTCACATTGGAAAGTTGTCCATGAGTTTGTCGCTTTTCAAGTATTTTCACGTTATTAGTAAATGTAATATTTGATGCGTTGAAATGTTGCAGAGATAAAATATTTGTAGCTTCAAATGGTTCAAATTTTATAATCGTATGAGATAACAGTTCAGGAATTGTTACTTTTGTCGTATATAAAAAGAGAATTAAGAAGCGAACATTTGTCTTCATACTTTATGGAACATCCACGCTATACAATTCTTTTTCTAACGTCGACATCCGCATCAGTTTACGAGCATATTATCCTAATAATTAAATATAAGCAAACTCTGAAGTAACCATAGTATTCACTGTTAGCTTATCACCAAGGCGCAATTATCATTAACACTCGGAATTGGAAAAATATGCATATATCAGAGCAAAAATCGAAAATTTCCTAAAAGAAAAAGCAAAATATTGATCAATTTATAGAGAGGCATATTTTTTGAGAGATTTCAATTAATTATTGAATAGGAAGAGTCTGAGCAACGAAAATTGCTCAATATATATCAGAAATTTATGAAACAAATTTTAATAAAATTGATATCATCATCTGAATATATTATTACAACATTTTTCATACATTTTATTTTTCAGTCCAAATTTAATTGCAATCATTTGAGCATATTGGTCATTCATTATAGCATAAAATTCCATAATTATATTGTATGAATTTATAGCAAGAACGTCAAATTAATCCGGATAATTCATTTATTGATTGTGTACCCTTGTCTTCATACTTTATGAAAGATCCACGCTACACAATCTTTTTTCTAACGTACTTTTACTACTTGAGAATTTCCTTTACCATTTCTATCACGACCGACAGTTATTTTCTGATAATTACGAAACTTGGTGATATTTTGATTACTGCTCTCCGAATACTGTTGCTACCACAATTATTTCAATATACCACTGCTATTATAACAACAATAACAATTACTGATACAATTACTATTGTCTAGAAATATTGACAGAAAGTTGTCGTCATTTTTACAATTCTGAAAAAATTACAATTTTCGACTGGGAAAATGTAGAGGTAATATGAAAAAACAGTTTTCAATCTTTGAAATAAGAAATGTAAAAAAGTATCATAAACCGGTACTGAGGAGCATTTTCTTAACATTCTATTCTTTATACATGTCCTGCTGTTCTATCTGTATGTCTGTCATGTCACCGCATGTTATTGTAAATACCAAAAATATTTTCAACTCAACTTCACACTGATGAACCTCAAATGATTTCCTCTTTCGGTGAAGACTATTTTTTACAAATTCTAATTTCAAATAATTTACTGACTTCCAAAAGATTTGACCCTAAGCAGTAAATATGAAGGATTTGCGATTTACAGATACAAAAGACGATGACAAATTGAAGGTACTATTTCAGTTTAGTTTTACTCTGCTTATTGTCACATTAGAAAAGTCATTACACCACAACCACGAGGAATTGCAGGACTGATTAACCAATAAAATGAATGATTAACACTGACTCCCCCCTACAAAAAATTTTTTAAATTCCGGCAGACTTCCCAAACGATCCCGCCTCAAGATCCGTGAGAATTCACTAAGAGTATCAGAAAAAATGTTGCAACATTATTTCATGCACCAGTACTCATTTTTTAAATAGTTTGCACACAATGGAGTTACACAGTACTTATTGCATATTATCACTATTATGTCTGAAATTGGAGCGACACCAGAAAACTTGCTTTTAATACTTTTGAATTAATATGGAACAGGAGTTTCAAGACGCCGCGAAATTTATTGCTGGCAATCATAAAGATCTTATGTATGTTATAACATCCTTGCTCTGCTTTCTCGGGTTTATTTTAATGCCACTCAAATTGCTGTATCATTAATAAATGTCTCTTTTAGAAGTGATGAAGCATTACGCACATAATTATTATTTACTATGCAAAGTCGAGCCAACATAACAAACTACAGGCAGTAAAACATCGAATGTTCGAATAAAAACAAAAACACACATACACACACCTCAGTTTCTATCCTTCATCCATTTGTTCACTGCCAGAAGCATTTCTTTCATCTGCAATTCAAAGAATATGAGCTGATAATATTTATAGACCATGTCCAAGAAACATTCAACAACTCGGAGTCATTTATCAAAATTTTGTTTCATCACCTTTATAAAAAACCAGAAACTCTCAATTATTTGTTTTTTTGGTACTGGATTATGATACCAGTCCTTCCTAGTAGTGGTGACACTATGAAATTAAATTTAACTTGAAAACAAATTAAATTATTAAATTAATAGAAACTTGTCAAAATACCAAAACCAAATTTCTTAAAATCTTACATGCCAACAAAAATGCTTTGAAAACAAGATTGGTTTGCTTGTTCGCATTTCACTATTCCTAATGTTCTTTGATCTCCACACTAACGAAAAAATTCTTTCAGGTTAGATGAAAATGAAATGAAAAGAAAAAACGAACCACCATTAGTTTCATGCCTGTACATATTCGTTGACATGCCCCGAAAATATAGTGTATTTTGATCTTCTTCTTCACCATTTTCCTCGTAATCCTCCTCACCTGATTTATTATCTAAAAAAAGTGAAAGCATAAAAGTGTAAAAAAATTATTCATTAATATTTACTGTATTAGTAAATAATTTTAAAATCTGTTATCACTACTAATATTTAGGTCATATCACTTCACTTTGCAAGAACCTTTAACTTTCTATTGAAATTGATATATACCTGAGAAGTCACCCTCCGGACCCAATGTAAAATCGTCTGAAAAATCGTCACCCTCATCAGGATTCAACCCTTGACATTCGCACATTTGTTGATAAATATTTTGCACTAAAATTTTTAAAAATTATAAAATTAGTAAATATGATATCAGCACCATATACAATAAATGGAACTTCAATTGGGAGTCTGATTTAAAAAACCAGTACTTGAACAAAAGCAAACCAATTCTATAATTTTATACATTTCCCAATGTAAAAAAGGGAAATCTTAAAAACACATTTAAGATATATAAACAAATTTAAAAATTATACGCATTTCTTAGGAAACTAATCTAACTACCACGGTTGTGCGGTAGGTTTCTTTGTAATAGTTGAATTGCACACTGATCATAGCTGATATTCAAGAACCTTAGGAAGTCAATGCTATCTTGATTGCGATTATCGTTAAGTCATTAGACTACCAATATATAAAACGAAAACACAGGAATTAAAAAATGAAAAGTAAAGAATAGCATCTTCGAGACATTTAATATACTTGACTCCTAAACTTACATATAGTTTTGTCTTGAGGAGCAAAACGTATAGCTAAATGTACTTTGTCATCATCATCATCAGCATCGTCATCATCATTATCGTCACCAATGTCATCACCGAAACCATTTTCTACCCTTTCTTCATCAAGTTCAGCTTGTTCTTCAATACCACTTCCAACATGTTGTGCACTACTCACAGACCTCTCGCTGTTTTGTATCCCTATGTCTGCAAATAGCATAAAGTAATTACTGCTAGCATCAGCATAAAGCAAAGCAGGAAATTAAGTTATCCCAGCATATATTACTCTAAACAATTATAATTTACAATGAGTAACTATTTTACAGAAAGCTTCAATAATCTACATTTGTGTCATACAAATATTTATCACTGTAGAAAAGATTACAGTGTTATGCTATCATCCAACAAATTTTAGGTGGAAAATAAAAAAATAAAAGCAAAATCATTACTATCAAAATATCTGAGAAAAACTTTTAATACAAATGCATCTTGAACATGGCGACATACCTGATCCTTTCGCATCAGCTAACACGTAAATACATTCGTCTGGAAATACACTGGGATCACGTGAAATAGCGTGGAGTATTATTGATGGGTAAGTCAGACTAAAACCTCGTCCACTGATACTTGAGACCCATGTTACTGAACTGAAATATTTCAGTAAGTTTATAACCCATGATGACTTGAATATGGTTGATATTGCCATATAAACCATTATATGAACTCAAATCAAGCAATTAATGCTGATCGAATTCTGCTAAATCTAAGAAATATTTTGTGACTTCATAATTTACTCCATAAAAACGGCAAAAAAAGGACTTAAAAGCTTAATGTAAATTAACCTGCCGTAGATAACATTCTATTAGCCATTACAATATTAAAAGTGCAATCATACTCAGTCGATACCTTTCGGAAATGGTTAATTCACCTTCACCAGCGGATTCGCTTTCAATATATGCTGTGACTTGATTTTGAATCAATCGAACGCCATCTGTTGGCACAACTACATTACATAAAACAATCATCGTTTATCGTCCTGGAAATAATTTCGACATTACAAATTAAGCGCAGTTACTGAGATTATTAGACAAGTTGGCAGAGTACTAAGCAGTTAAATGTTCGCAGCATTTACATCCCTATTAAATGTCAACACATTTCAGTTTAATCATATAAAATGCTAAAACTCATTTCCAAACCATTTCCAGGAAGTTTCATAAGCAATTACAAATCAAACTCCAGCCACTGTCAAAGGTCAAGACCATGAGAGCTCAGCATTATGAGGAATCCTATGAAAAACATCAGCAGCCACCAAAGGTCAGGGACCCGATCATCCAATTTCCCCAGATCAAATTTTAGCAAATTGTGCTTAAATCAGCTGGCAAGCTGTCAACACCGCGGAGTAGTTTTCGTTTCAGGATTAATGACAACTTTGTGCAACACTTAACTTTCAACTTTAATTGTAGTGAGCATAATGGCGTTTTCCTTTATATTTGATACTGAAATGAGATGCGACTAACAAATACGTCAATGATATTGCAAAATTATGCAATATTTACGTGTTAAATAGACTAGACGCCATTGCTACGCGTAAGGCTAATCACACTTTATAAAACTAGTATTGTGACATAGCGTTATAAATATAACGTAATAGTACTTAGCATTACGTATGTGCCAGATAAAAATGATTGGAATGATGTTAGCTTCGATTCAATATGACAGATGCAAAATTACTGTAAATAAGGGTGAAGGTTGTGTCATTCGCATATTCATCAGAGTCGTGAATTTTGATTACTTGGCTAGAAATTTGAAGTGGAGCAGACTTGAACTTGAAGACAAGAGATAAAATAGATGGTATAGGGCTTGCATAGATATAAAATAATGTTTCTGAATAATTTTGTTCCATTTATCATTGATCGATATCCTGTAACAAACTTATTGGGAGAAAAAGAAAAAAAGACATTTTCATTATTTTGGTTAGTCTTAAAATGACAGTTGCACTAAAATAGAAAAAGTTACTAAAATTGTATCCCTATGAATTGAAAAGAAAAAGCTAATAATAATTATTAATCCATGATTTTTAATACATAAACGAGACAAACATTCGAAAATCGTTTCGATGAGCTCGGATTATCTAAAAATTTGGTTAACAGTGTTTGAGAAAACGGACATCGAAATATCGAGCGGTCTGATCTCGAGAATGATGCACTAATTCATATGAATTCATTTATTATGAAAAATAAAAGAAATCCGAACTCTACCGCAATCGATACTTACATTTAAAGGTTTATATGTTTTTATTGAACAAAATCTTTTGATTTTGTGTTGACATATCCCATGAAGTTATCAAATTCCTTTCAACGTTTTCGTTTTCTGATCAAAAAATATCCCATCTATCGTTGAGTTTTTATTAAAAATTGTCTTTTTATGTTTATCAATGATAAACAATCAACAGCACTGCGAAGGTCAGGGAAACATCTTCAGCTCCATTTCTGTCTTGATAAGTATCATTGCCGAATATTGACTGATTGATTATCCATACAGTAAATAGTTGCCATCATAAAATAAACTTTGCTTAATCTATAAAGAGCTTAGAAAATTGATAAGTTATTGCCAAAGAAAGATCACTTTGTGAATACTAATGTTTCATTTCATTTCCATTCTATCAAAGGAAGATTTTGATGTTTGTTACTTTGACGTGAAATGATGACGATAAGCTGAAATATAAAAATACATTCAGTAAAGATATGCAAACTTTCTTGAATATACTAAACTCTATTTTAGATGTGGAAAATTATAACTGCGATGGAGAGTTATTTGATCAGAATTATTATATAATTGCGTGGCAAGGAAAACAGTGGTATTTTTTAAAATGTGGCAGGAGGAAATTGCTTAATGAAAACTTTGATTAGCATACTTTTTTTAATTCATCTCCAGTTCATAAATATGATTCATTCACTCGTTGAAATTTCTGATTAGTCATATTTTCATTTTATTATTTCGAATGAATCAATAAAATTAATAACCGCTTATCATTTGCGGTTTTCTGACAGCAAATGGCATATAGAATTCGCAAAAAAAAAAATCAAATCGGTAGAAAATAAAAAATAGGTAAATGTGAAGAATGAGACTTCAACTGAAAAAATAAAAATGTCAAAAATTAGTGAAAAACAGCTTGTAATTTATTTTATTTAATAAAGTCGGAAAAACAACTCAATTTTTCATTCTGATATAAATTTAGTGCTTCAGCAGGAAGAAAAAAGATGCTGGTCACAGCTGGCCAGTGGGTAAATCCGTTGAAATAGAGCGTAACATCTCCTCAACATAAATAAAATATTATATTTACAAATAATTCTAATTATCTAAGGATACAGAAAGCCATTTTAAAATAAATAAAGTATAAAAAGTGGGTGAGTAAACTTCAAATAATTACTTAATAAAAATGGATGCAACTATTACGGAAATTCAAATTTGAAGGAATTCAAATTCAAAAAAAGTTGAAATTCGCCGATAATATTTGATGCAAGCTGGATGAAATATAAAATTAAGCTTGCATCAAATATTATTTGTTTTTTTTGTTTTTCTTTCTCATTTCAATTACTATTATTATTACTATTACTTTAATGTAACTTAAACGATGACAGTTAATATTGTTCAATTACAGAAACATTGAAATAATTCATGCAAAAAATATTGAATTTTTAAATCTAATTTAATTTAGATTTTTTACATAGCTATGATCTTAAAGAATGTGTTGAAGAACAAAACAAAAATGAAAACGTTACGTGACCTGTTGTCATCATTTAATTATGTTAAAGCAGCGGACGCATACGTCACTCACTTTTATGACATTCGATAAATTTGAAAATTTTAGTTTCAGCAATGTTGTTACGCATAAACTTGCCATTTTGAAGAAAATTTCATTCATTTATTCATGAAGTTTGTTGTGTGAACGGTCAATATCGTTTTGAGGGAAAGCGTTCGTCAATCGATATCAATTTGTTATTTTATTTCTCATCACTGTTTATTTCTTTTTTTTTTCTTAAAAAAATTTTTTAAACGAAGTTTAAAAAGAGTAAAAAATGAGGCCTCGTGGTGGTGCAATGAAGAAATTTGGTAAGGAAAGGAGAATGAGATTTGGACATAATAAAGTTGTCAAACGAAAAGTATTAAAACCGCCGAAAAAAGGTGTGATGAAAGGAAAGAATAAATTCGCGGAGAAGAAACACAAAAAAAGGATGGAAAAAAGACCATCGAAGAAAAGTAAGGTGAAGAATAAATAAAATGAATCAATTTATGAATTACAATTAACCAAATTAATTATTGATGTTAGGGTATGGAAAATCCATCAATATTGGTTGATATAAATTCAATATTTAAATTTCATACTTTGCTTTAATAAGTTCATACTTTATTTCAATACTTATTAAAGCAACTTAAATAAGTCAAGTCTCACCGGAATTATAGGCTAAGAAAATGAATTTAGTCTAACCCACTGATGACAAGATCGAATAGTTGAATAAAACTGAAATAATTCATAATTGATTGAATTCTTTTCATTAAGAAAATCAGATAAAAAGAGACTCCTTTAGCAATAAAATAAATACAATTTGATGTAAAACTAAAATCAGCTTTATAGTTTTTCTTCGTTTTAATTCAATAACTCATTGCTGAAAATGATTTCAAAAAACAGAGAAGGGAGAGATGAGGAAAGGAAAAGAGAAAGAAAAATCAAAGAAAAAAGAAACGGAAAAGAAAAAATCAATGAAAAAAGAAAAAGAAAAGAAAAAATCAGTGAAAAAAGAGAAAGAAAAGAAAAGATCAACGGAAAAAGGGGAGGGAAAATCAACAAAAAAAAGAAGGGAAAAAGTTAGAGAAAAAGAAGAGAAGAAATTACAGAAAAAAGGAGAAGAGGAAAAGAAATCAAAGAGAGAGATGACAGAAAAAGAAGAAGCGACAAAATCGGAAGGTTAACAGACAATTTGTTTGAGTATTTTAAAATGGAAATGTTTTTTCCTATCGAATTAAAGGAAAGAATTTCATAGTATATAATGATTTAACATATTTTGATTTTTCGTTGTTTGTGAAGGATATTATTTCCATCAAAATGATTTACTAATCGGAAACTGATATTGATCATTCATTATTCCACAAAATATATTAATCATTTTTAAATCAAAATATAAAATAGACTGAATTACTGTCACTTTTTTTTGTAACTTAGTTTGGATCAAATTTTAAGCGAGCAGTTTGGCTTGAAAACTGAAAAAAGAAAAGAATGAAAAATGGAAAGTGTGAGGAAAGAATTGAACATCGTCAATAATAAACAAATCTCTGGTCTTTGACCTTATCACTATACTAGTTGAAATTTCATACTTCATTATTTGTACTTCAAGTTTATTATTTTCATTAATTTATATTAGCATTATATTTTCACTAAACAGATGCAGTGCGAAAGACGGAGAAAGGAGTGGAAATAAGTTCAAAGGTGATAAGTAAAGTTGGAGTAGAAGAGAAGAAAGAAGTTGGTGCTAAATTTAGGGTATGTAATGTAAAATTTGTTCCACATTTCAACTTTTTCTTCTCGATAGATTATTGAATTCTTTTTGATTCAAAGCCAGTAAGTGTGTGTAAATGTCAACGATGCTCATGGATCACAGTGAAAGGTCATTTTTAAGCTTGGACGATTTGGTGCTGAGTTTTTTGCACCTGTAGGAAGTGCGCCAAGTGATACTTCAAGTGATGATGATTCTGATGGCGAAGATGTGGATTCAGAGCATTCAGAAGATGAGCAGTGAAATGAAAAAAATTCCAAAAAAGGAAAAGACTTCGTTTATTGAAATTTGCGTCATTATTATTTTTGAAGAAAGTCATTATTAAATATAAAAAAGTGAAATCGCCATATTATAAACCTTTGAGGCCTTTGGTTTTACAAAACACAAATGAAAGACGGAAATCGAAGAATAAATTTTTGATGGTTCTAAGCTATTAAAGATATCGCATAACTGACGAATGTTTTGTGAACGGGAATTGACCATTCTGTGGACAATGAGCCTACTACTTATGTCTATAATTTTTTCCGGTTACTTTCCAGTTACGCTTTGCATCTTCTTTCGGATCATAAATATCTAATTCA